CGAGAGGACTATTAGCTATCGTTGAGGCTTTTAGAAGAAGGAGGCACTTACTGTTACAGGTAGAGACAACAGTTCTCACGGACCACCTGAACTTGACATACTGGATGGAACCGAAGCAGTTCAGCCCGAGGCAGGGCAGGTGGGTCGAAGAGCTTTCTAACTTTAGGTTTAAGATGGTGTATCGACCTGGAAAACAAGCTACGCTGCCGGACGGGCTATCGAGGAGAGCAGACTACCACTCTGGAAAGGGAAGTACTATGGTGCAAGAGAGCAACCTTATTCAAGGATTGCCGAAGTTCGACGAACTCGACGACACTAACTCTGGGTTACAACACCTACTTCGTGCTTTGCAAGGAACAAAGGAAGTAAGAGAGAATGACCTTATTGATCCCATGGATCTGATTGTTGGGATACAGGAAGATGAAGAAGTGGAGGAGGTTAGAAAAGAGCTATTAGGAGCCATTTGCGCTGAGTGCTCCCATCCAAAGTGTCACGATGACGTGCAGGAACCAGGATCAATCACCGAACTACGCCGTAGTTCGCGATCCCCTCTAATACTTCGTGGGGGGTGGACCCCAAGAGGTTTCCTCGCATTCGACGATCGCACTTATGTGCCGAACTACGCCGACGCTCGGCTAAAGATCATGAAGATGCGACGTGACTCGGCCTTGGCTGGTCACCCAGGTTCGGCGAAGACCCTTGAACTAGTCCTAAGGGATTATGTTTGGGTTGGAGTAAGAAAGGATGTTGAGGACTACATCGCTGGCTGCGCGGTATGTCAGAGAGCAAAGACTAACAGACAGAAACCCCATGGAGAGCTTAAACCATTACAAGTGACTACTAAACCCTGGTCAAGCATCTCGATGGATTTCATCGAAGAGCTCCCGAATTCTCATGGATATAATTCCATCCTGGTAGTGGTAGACCGATTGACCAAATGGGGCATTTTTATCCCAACCACGACGAAGTTAACCGCAGCTGGACTATCAGAGCTGATAATGGACTATGTGGTGGCCCAGCATGGATTACCAGAGAGTATAGTATCGGACAGAGGATCGAAGTTTACTTCGAAGTTTTGGAAGAACTTGACCGATAGTCTCGGCATAAGACTACATCTTTCTACCGCG